GTAGGACTGGTGACAGACCCCCCACTCAATGGTCTATAAGAATAAGTGGTGGCTGCATATTGCATATTCAAAGCTCTCTGTATTGTATTTGGTGGTCTTATTAAGAGAAGTGTGTTCTGGGGTTTTAGCTTCAGTCATAATGGTGAACTCAGAGAGTGAGTCACACGCTAATGTGGTAAAGTGCGATCGAAATCTCACGAGAAGAGCAACCTAGGCTGCCAGAACGCGAGAAAGAGACGGACCAGGCGACGGAAATCCCACTCTAGGCCAAGGCATCAAGACAATTCCCCACGATCTGACGTGCAACAACAACGGTTAGTGATAGGGGCTACGAATGACCCAAGATCGACTACAGATGACCCAAGATCAACCCGACAGAATGATGGATGGCAACTCACCCAAATAATATCGTGAGAAGGCCGGATCAAGCAAGTTCATGGGGCAAGGTCGCTATCCATCGACGATCCTGAACAATAGCGGGCCAACGGACCAAGATCGTAGGAGAACGGCTGCGCTCGGAGCTTTATCTATCACCGACTAAGACGCGCGAGCGATACGAAACCCCGGTTTAGGATAAGATAGCGATCCGGAGCCCTGGGAGGGAGGTGGGATAGGATATCTGGGAGGCAGTCGGCATACGCTCCAAGGCGAGCGGCAGCGATGGAGATCCTTGCTCGACGACCGCGGGCGATGGTTCAAGAGTCCGGGGCGACGTTCCAGATGAAGATCATAGACCGAGGCCGATCGAGGCGTGATCGTGATTGCCGATCGAGGTCCGATCATGATCGCCGATTCCAAGATAAGGTATGTATCGATATGTCAGGTAATCGTAGGAAAGCAGCTGAGGATGGGTTAGGAACATAAAGATAAAAGTAAACAGACTCGAATTTAGTCTAAGCCACACAAGTGTCCGCCTTCACCTAAAAACGGGTATTTGTTTGGCCCCTCAAGCGCGTAGACGGTAAAGACAGCGTAGCGGTTAAGACTGGATAATATATTGGCCAGCTTTTCCCTGCCTAGTGACTTGTCCTCAAGAGTTTATGTTGATCGGAAGGCATTGATTGATTGGCCTAACGATTGCATCGGATCTCGACCCAACAAGTTCCCCGCTATTCAGAGGCATTCCCTGAATCTCGCCAATTGCTACATCTTTTTCACGTCGTTACTTGGCTGGAAAAGCAAGCTGCAAAATTATCTACCGGGACCGCTTTGGAAAAGGAGAAGCTGAAGACTGCACTGTCTGCGTTGGTGTACTCCACAAGCCAGCGCCAGTACGGGAAGCGGCAAGCACATCAAGGAAGGAGCAGGATCTCCGCATTTGGACCACCCCAAGACCTGGATCGACGTTCAGGCAGCTCGATCGCGACTCAAGGACACGTCCGTGACCGAGATCGACCTAGAACGAGATAGAACGAAGTTCCCAAACCCCTGCGTTCTATCCTTCCCGGATATACATCGAACGAGTCACCCAGGAGTTGGGTACACAAGGTGAGCAAGAACACACCCAGATCACGGATCATCGGAGGACCTCCTTCGTTAGTCGGGGTCCGGGCGCAAGTGGTATCGGGAACCGCGATCACCAGATTTTCACGAATTCCGCTTCGCCACACTAAGCACACGGATTTCCTACAAAATATCTACCAACAGTAGAGACCAAGAGTTCCCGAATAGTTGGTTCAACCCTCAGGGATTATACACAAGGGCCACACGCCAAACTCGGAGTTTCCAAAGGTTCTCAGAGTTATGACCCTCTGTGCATTCGAGCCTTATATTGTCTCAAGACCAGAGCGAGCTCCGTACGCCAAGGGGTGCAAATTTCGCCGCCTTCACCACACCCGAGTGAAATGTATGATGGAATATCTGGGGTAGGTGGGCAGTTGTCAATGAGGACATGCAGAGTGACTAATGTGACTAATTCAGTGCCCGAAGTGAGTGAGATGTCGGAAGTTGTAGATGAATCAACGGACGTCCCAATAGGAGAGTTCTGAAGAAATGCTGAATGATCAGGACTCCGACGAAGATGAGATTATCGAGTCAAGTAGTGTCGACGATGGTTTTCCAGAAATCAACTTGGTGGACATTCCACAAGTGGAACACGAGAATGATGTCTATTCGGACCTGCCGGCGTCGATGATCGCATGTACGCCAGTTGTGTAGCTCGAGCTAGAATAGGAACGTGTCATGCGAATCAGTGCTGAAGAATTGGACCTAGAGCTCGCGGTTTACTTTCACGAAGGGGCGAAAGGTTATCACAACTCAGTTGGTGAACCTAGGACGAGCACTTCTGATAACGAGCGAAAATTGTGAGCGATCCTGAAGTACCACCGAGCCATCTTTTTGGGAGATGTGAATGCGATTCTAGCTCCGGCGCGAGGTGTGTCCTGTGACTTGGATGTTGAAGAGGCGCACCTCGTTGCTCAACGTTCCCGATCTGTGGACCACACTTGTCGATCAAAGTGTATGAATTGCTGAAAAGCTTTTGGAACACATCGGGAATTCAGAATCATCATGGCGTCACTTATTGGGATTGTCCTAAAAAATGGTGTGGATATCCGAATGTGTGTCGTCTACCGAATTGTCAATGGGTTCATTACGTTGTCCAATTATCCTCTACCGTTAATAGAAGGTCGGTCGGTTGTGTTTGTGGATGTCATGTGCTCCATGAGGTTGGATACGACCAGCGGCTTTTGGGTGGTCAAGATATCCGAAAAAGCAAAGCTGATATCGGCGTTTGTCTGTCAATGTGGACAGTTCAAATTGACTCGCATGTCATTCGGACTCAAGAAAGCGCCGCTGATGTACTTGTCGGTTATCAACAACTGGCTGTGGGGATTCGTGGGCCTGCCCCCGGAAGAAGAAGCGGAAGTTGATCATTTTTTTTATTTTCTACGTTTGGATCCTACAGATAATCAAGAATCTTAGAGTGGCAACTCAAGCACCAAGGTGAAGGGACTCACGGAGTAGATCATCGTTTTTCAAAGGAATATTCCCTTGGCTTTGTACATTGGCCCAGTGTTGGAACGTAGTGCTTACATTGACGACATTGCTCATGGTGCAATAATATAGGATCAACTTTGTAATCTAGACACCTTCCTTTATCGCTTATGTTACTGGAATATATAAGTGAACTTACCAAAGTGGGAGTTTGGAAAACCGTCGATCCCTTGTTTGTGACACGAAAATAACGGGGAAGGTATTCGAGCGACCCCAAACGTTGCGAAGGGTGTTATGGATCTACCGTTTCCCAAATCCAACAAAGGTGTGATATCGTTTCTCGAAAATCAAAACTACTACCACAAGTTCATCGAGACCTATCTTAAAGTGACAGCGGTTCTTTATGAAGTTTCAGAACACCAGATACATCAGGGACGAGACATCTCACGAGCTCATGAATCTTCGCACTAGTTAAAAGGAAAATCGTTGCGACGCCAAGGTTAATACATCCGGACATCCAAAACCCATTTGTGGTTATTCCGCACGTAAACCGTTGCCTGCTTGTGTAGTCAATGGACAAGAATACGACGCAAAGCTACAACATGTTCGGTACACGGGACGTGCTCTGAACGATGCCGAGCTCCGGTATCACATTACGGAAGGGGTGGTAAAAGCTATCCCGAGGGTGTTGCAAATCTTTCGGACGATTCTGAATGGCCGATAACTGATCATTTACACAAACGATTATGTTCAAAATGGGAGGTGATTTCCTTGGGGAGTTCCACTTTCAGATTGGGATATCAAAATCAAGACCAAAATGACTGAAAATGAACTTGCAGCCATCATGGGTGCAGAGATCACACCACGAGAAAATTTGGATGAAGTCGTCGAAACATTGATCTCTCTGAAGGGACATGTTTGAAGACCCCCGTAGTGAGCGTTGAGATGTTATGAAGTGAAATCCAAGATATCGTTCTGAGTTTCGATGGTGCCACAATTCTCTCCACCAAGAACGCAAGTTGTGGCTGTAAGTTGCGGCAGCTACCCGGTTCGAAAGTTCTGAAGATGAAGGGGTTCCTTTTAGAGAATGTCCTTGTAAACGATACTCTGTACCATGTACCCGAGATGGCCATTGAAATGAGGCTAGAAAATTTGGTCGCAGTTGAAGATCTCGAATTGTTATTCAACAGGTTCAAGGACTGGTAAACCGCAATCAACCACATCTCCAAAAGCATCGTGCCAAAGTTGAGCTACTGAAAGAGAAGTTCCGATCGTTACGTCTGGTACATCTGGAGCGGGAGTACAATCAGGCCGATTATTTTACCAGACTTTGATTCTGGATGAGTCGTGAAATGTCACGGACACGGCGGAGATTGTACCTTTAGAGCACGTGTCAAAGATCGCAGAGAAACCCATGAAGGTGGAAGACTCCGAGTCAAAATCTGTAGTTGATCCAACTTCCAGTTCAACACTGTTAAGAGACGTCGAATAGTCTGCTGCTGAGTCAGCTCCATTGACAAAATCGGCGTGGGTACATGCAGCGGTAACGCGTTCGAGTAGCCAAGCCGAAACGGATCCGAGGAATCGACCCATGAACCCTTTGGAATTCCAAGCCGAACGATGGTGACGCATTCGCATGTATGTATCAGAACGCCGATGAGTACTTGTCTGAGATCAAGGACTTTCTTAAAGAGGATTTCCAGAAGTATTTGTCTAGGAGACTGCCAAACTTATTTGTGCTTGACACTCGGGATGTGTTGTATCGATTAGCTCGCTCGACCCGTGATCGCCCGCGTGACTTTCAGGATGAACCTCGACTCATCGTCCCAAAAGCGCTCCGGGATGATGGCTTACATTATTGTCACGAATTCTCCCAACGAGGTCACCATGACATCACCAGGGCCCATAAGAAGTTATGTTGATCATTCGATTGGCGCGGTATGTACGCGGATGTTCAGGACTTTGCGAAGAAGTGCATTAATTGTACGAGTGGAATAGGAAAACCTCCAAACGCAATAACCATCACCCGGAACATTGAACCCTGACAACCTTTTTCGTAACGCACATACCGAAGGCCGATCGAGGGAACACGCTTGTGCTACCGTTCCAAGATTGCTGTCGAGATATGTAATGTGCAAACCTATGGACTCAACCACCTTTCAGGATGTCGCGGAAACTTACAAATAACATGTATTTCGGAACTTTGGGGCAAGTGAAATGATTCGGCACGATCAAGATCCCCGTTTAAGGAGCGAGATGTTTACCGGTTTTGGGACTCTTGAATAATCGTCAGAAAGCCAGTGTGGAAGGTCGACCTCAAGGAAACAGGCGCCAGGAACAATCTGTCCAGATGGTTGTCAGGAGTATCCGTCTTTTTATTCAACAGGCTGACCAAAGCCATGGGAATAACCACGCGGAAAGGCTGATGTTCGCTCTAAGCACTTTGTTTGATGCGACACGTTTAGATATCCAGTTCTACTTGATCCACGGTTGGGTTCCCCAAAACACTCTGAAAGCGATGTTATGTCCGACGCCAGTCCCAGAAAGGCCTGTCTATCAGCGGAGACGAAAACTTCAGAGAGTTGATGGCTATGGAAAAGCGTGTGCCGAGGAGTGCCCGACGATATCGCTCCGACCTCCAAACGCAAAAATGGATGGAGTTATCCGAACGCCTGAAATCAGCATTTCAGAAAGGGGACGTCGTATGTTTATACATTCCAAAATTGCAGACCGGACTAAGTAAGAAGTTGGTGCACTTGCCTTTTTGAATCGATGAAGCGTTAGATGATTTCAGGCTCAAGCTGAAAGTTGACAGAACCGGATACTGAGCCAACCCGTGGGTTCATATCAGTCGTCTGAAACCAAGAGCCTTGTTTCCTAAAAGACAGGCAGTCACCGTGGATGTGAATGAAGAAGAGGATTTGGATGTTGTGCTACTCCAAGAAGACAGTTGGGAAACCGATGCCCAAAAGGATCAGTACGAGGTTGTGAAGAATTTGGATCTACGATGGTGTAAGAAACCTCGAACATCCAAAATGCGTCGGGAGTACCTTGTCAAATAGAAGGGTTATGACGATCCAGAATGGCTTCTTGCATCTCAACTGAATTGTGGAGGATTACGCTATGAGTTTAGCCAAGGTGCACGCGCTCGAGCTCGCTTTCAAAGTATGCAAGCTGGTGAACGTTTCGAACGATGATCGATGTATTGTCTGTTGTGTGAAACGGTAGGAAATTGTTTTGAACTTTTTGTAATTTTGGAGCGTTAAGCCTCAAACTCGCTATTCCTGAAGTTTCGTTTGGGTATCTGAGCAACGCGTTGTCTCATCACTGCTGTCACGTTGAAAGGTAATGATCAGTAGGGTGATTGACGCGTTGTAACTGGGCGAAATTCCCCAGTCATGTAACCTTTTTGAAATAGCTGAGAATTGTGCCTTATTGTGTCTATGTGTACTCGCTGGTGACTTATTTGGAAATATTTTGATGAGTAAATTTTCGGTATCGAAAAGATGGAGACAAACGAAGATGGATTGGCGAAAAAGAAAGTGATATGGTTTATCAGTGTACAAGTGGAGTGATGGTAATATTGGATTATCACTATGCCGGTGAGTGATGATCGATGTCTGGAAGCGACTTTTGGATATTGGGTATCGTAATTACTTGACGTGTGGATCTGAGTCTCTGACGATAGTGCAGCCCATATATTAATGACCGACCCGTCCGACCGACCAGATATGATATGCACTTAAAGATTCGAGACCGTTGGACGATTACGATCGCCGACCTATACTGAGACCAAGTTTGATTTGCATGTGTTACGCTTACAAGAAAGATTGGCAGATAGACTTATATTTTAACAATATAATTCGTTTTGTCACAAATAGCACAAGGCCCTCAGGTCGTCTTTGTTTGTGGGCGGTAGTCATGTGTTAGCGAAGACACATGGAATCGACTTGGAGTCTTACGTGTGGGCGTATCGACAGAGAGAAAGTCGGTACGTCGTCTTGGAGTAAGTTATCAAGCCTATTTCGGTTAGTGATCGGGCAACGCGCGCTCGAGGTGATCTGCTGATCTCATATTCTAGTTGGTCGTCTGGGTAGACTTCCATGTCATATTAGCTGCTTGTCTGAGGTTATAGTAATCACCCCTGACTCGATTGATTAGATTACTGTGTGGAAGGTTAGGTCCCTCCGGAAGCTACTTTGTTGTAAGTGGTTATATCTGGATAGATAAACGTGGATATTTGGTAATAAAGGGTATTTGTCTTTCCAGAAGTTGTTATACATCACAGCACTTTGTGGGGGTGGGGGTGCGCGTATTGTTTGAGAGAGAAGGACCCGTAGAAGTATACCAGTACCTCTTTTTCTAATCCAAGTGAGACTGGTGAGGGACTGACCCTTACATGATCCAAAATAATAAGTAAGGGCTACATATCTGTATAATTGTATAATTATATGTATTGCTGTATTATCTCTCTGGGAACATCTTCTTCATAAAACACTTCCAGTCACTGACACGTCGTTTAGAAGTAACGTCTGTGTCAGTTCCCTGCTGCTCTTGGTTATCCGAAGGTCAGTTTCAGTCTACTCGGTGAATCACTTTGTACCAAAGTCAAACGTACCAATAGGGATTTCACATGGTCACATGCCGGCTCCCCAATCGTGGATTCGGTATTCCATCTCAATCATACCTTTGGAGAGTCTGACACCCAAACACCTTAGTTGGTATTATCCGGACATTGTACTGTACACCTGAGCGGTTCAGGCGTTTGCCCCCTTCGCGTAAATTAACCTGACCGCACTTCTCACTGTTGGCGTAGGAATTGAACGTGGAGGCATAAACTAGGATATTCCCCGTGAAACATCACCGTTTCCAGTCAAAATCCCATTGTACTTTCCACAAAGAATGGAATCCCGTGAACACACCCAAATTCATCAGGAATGTCGAACACGACAGCTACGCGTCGATAGCACAGAATACGTTGGAGTAAAATTTCAATCGTCACCAACATTAACTTCGGTTTGGCAATTATATCTTCTCCAAGTTTCAGATTGATCGTTCGGTCAGTGTGTGTCTTCAGTCTACACTTCTTAGCAAATCCTCGTAACACGTATACGGTAATAGTGCGACAGTCTAACAGGATCTTGGTGTCGAACTTGTTTTCGAGCTTGTTGCCATTTTGTACCATCATGCCTTCTACTGAAAACAGTGGTTCAGGAGTATAGACGAGGGTAGCTTCGCATATTAGATTCAACGTAGCCTCGTTTACGGTTAAATCTTGTTCGCTAGTTATCACCATGTTACGCACCACTTCTTCCGGCGTGGCTGTTGCCCTGCTCGATTTTCCGTTGCATACCGTTTTGTTTGATGTGACCAGGCTTCTTGTAGTGATAGCATACAGAACCGCTTTGGTTTGTTCCGCAGTAGCACAGTGAACACGTTTGTATGAGTGTTTGATGGACGGCTAATTATCTGAGAATGATCTCGGTCTTGACGGTGGACGGAAACGTTGTTCACGCTCCGGTTGCTTCCGACGAGATCTGTTCTCTCCACTAAAAAACATGTCATACTTGTCAGCCAGGTCCATTGCCTCACTCATAGATGACGCGTTCTGCAACTTGACGTATGCTTGCGTGGCGCGCTTGAAGCCGTCAGAGTAGTAACGGACTTGGTTCAACTCACTTATGCTCTCAGCACGAAATATCAGTAATGAATATATTCCGATATATCTCCGATCTGACAGAGTTAGCGAAGTTTCTTGCGAGCCACCGCGTGGTAGTTGGAGGCTTTAAAATGTGCGGTGCGTAACGAGTAAACCCATCCCACTTTTGCTCCTCAACTAGTGTTCTTGAGGGCCAAAACAGGAACCATGCGGACGCAGACTCTTCCATTGACATACTGGCGATTGCAAGCAACGTTTAATTGTCGGTCGTCGCCTCATGTCCATGGTTGTCGACCGTCGGTATTCCGCGATCTTGTTAGGCATTTGGATCTCCGAGGTGACCTCATGATCTGCGGGTTTGAACCACAGATCCGGACGCCTCATGTCCTTTGATGCAACCCAAAAGTATCCGCTTGGAACACCCACTGGTTTACATCTTCGGCGCGCTTCCCCTTGAACCTGGGAAGGCCGCTTGGAATCCAAGGCGACTTGCAATTGGGTTAGATGCATTTCCGCCTCAGCGCTTGCCCCTCGTTCCGTCGATTGCGTGTAGGCTCCGTTCCTGCGCCCCACGGGGGCCATAGTCGTAAAGTATGACCAACAACCCCTACCCGTATATCAATCTGGTAATTTGCGGAGGAGGAGAGAGAGGAAGGTAAGACTAGTCTTTGGGGGTACTGACGAGCTCCGCAGCGAACACACACGTTACACTCCACACTAAATAAAATATTGACGCCGTGCCCTCCATGAGCGAAGCAAATTTGGTAGTGCAAATGAGGAATTCACTGAGTAGAAGGCTACACACTGGTCATGCAGTATTCCAAACACTGACAATCATTCTACTCCTAAGAATCGCTTCTAACACTTGGTAGTAGATGCGAATTGTTTTTATTCCACCAGCTGATCTACATATATATAAGTTTTTTGTGTAATTTATGTCAAAAGTGCAATTTATTGTTGGATAATTTGGACTGATTAGCTTTTTTGGACAGAATATTGTGGTGGAGTGCCGCGAAAGGCGCGGCAGCAGGATATGACAGTTGGCCGACAACGTGGGTCGAGTGACGGAAAACGACCAGAATGATTGAGGAGCAATATGAGTCGGAGTCGAATCCAGCGGTCACAAAAATGACATAGCTCACTATAGTGGCCCTGGTCCCGAGCCCAGGCCGTGACACGAGTCCGTACTAGCCCTCCGAGCTCTGATTACAACTCAAATCGAAGTACTGCGCAGATTAGGGTTGCACATAGATGTGATACTGTAGGCAAATCATTCAGGAAGATAGCCAGCGGATAGAATGGCTAGGATACGATCAGTCTCGAGAATTCTTAGTCTCACACAAGTATAAGTCTTCTTCACGCTTCTACGTCTGAAGGCCTTTCTACGTTCAGCAAGCAGAGCCACCCCGATATGTGGTGTCCCCCGACGTTTGGACTGGTTGGTGCGCTCACCCCCACACCCCGTGACTGCAGTGAGGGACACATAAATGAATACCGTAGAAGCCTCCTCCGTTAATAGGACGCGGGTTACGAAGAACGAGTGGTGGTACGATAACGCCCCACACACCCTTAGAAACGCCGACCCGAGAACGTCGCAAGATCACGGACAAACCCCTTCGACTGAAGGTAAACAAAGACCGGAAGTCGTCGTCAGAACGGATACACGTCTATTAAGACACACATCACAACAATACTCTACCCTAGCTACATTTCCACCTTCATCTGATATATGCTACTACAACCCCCGGAAAATACTGACCAGCCATCGATTCGACCGCGAAAGGTTTGTTCGAGGACAAGCTTACATGCAAACATGAGCCCGCTACTCCACAATGGTGCTGCGACCGGAGGGTACTACTCCGGAAGACGCAGTGGAGATAAAGCAAGAGCCTGTGGGGGGGGGGCGCCATCCATCGGAAGGTCGTCGGTGGTTAGTGAGCTCAAAGGAGAAAGATCCATCGCGCCGTAGAGCTTGGGGGGAACTTTCACGACACCCCATGGGACCAGCGACGGCCGCGAGAGCTACAAAGAACAGTTTGACGTTCCCGATGTGGCTCCGTCCGGAGCCACTGCGGGCTTCGACACAAATCGAGGCCCAACCGGTCTCATGCTCGAGAGGGTCGAAACCAACAACCAGTGCCCACTAGGGCCAAACCGGCGAAGCGCAAGTCGAAGAAGAAGACGCATGCGCCAGAGTCGGAGGACGAACCGACGCGCAACACGACATCCAAAGACGCGGGACGCCAATACATAGCAGACGAGTTGGAGCAGCACGGAGTCGTTTCGGTGACTAGAACAGAACCCGGTTCTCAGTTTCATCAAACGTAATTAATCGGTGAACTCACGGGCCATTCCACGAGTGGAACTTCTCGAGGCTCACGAGTGTACGTCTGACTATCTAAG